TCCATCCATCCATCCATCCATCCATCCATCCATCCATCCATCCATCCATCCATCCATCCATCCCTAGCTCCTGCCACCAGCCCTAAATAAACAGGCAAGGAAGGGGGGCACTGGGGCTCTGTTTCGGAGCCCAGCAGGGGCAGCTTCCTCCCGGGCAGGGTGTCCGGGTGCGGAAATCGATGCAGGGCGTCCTGCCAGCGGAGACGGGAACTGTGGACTTTCTATCCGGCTTTTGGAGATTTCCCTTTCCCTTGGAGGAGGGAAATGTTCAGTTGAGGAGTCTCTGGGGGGAAATGCAGGGACACTTCAGAAAAACAAGGCCGGAGAGGGGGAAGGGGCAGCGGGCTCGGACCAACCGTCGGAAGGAGATAAGGAAGGTGTTGCCTTCCTGCAGCAGTGCTGGGGGAAAAGCAGTGTAGGAAAGATGAGGAGGGAAGATAGAGGGGGATGGAGGGACACACGGTGAGGGGGATGGGAGCTCCTGCTGGATCCCTGTGCAGCCAGGAGCGTTCTTTGGAAGTGCCAGGGAGTGGAGTGGGTTTGGGTCAGACGCACACCCCAAAATGTGATGCTGTGGCTCGCTGCAGCCCACTCCTGCAGTGGAGGTGCTGGCATGGGGGGCTGGTTGACCCCAAGTCATGCACGGTATGGATGAGGCTTTGGCAAAAAGGTTATTCCACATGGGGTTGAGCCAAATGTGTACACAGGCTGCAGCGGTGAGATAGGGCTGATGGATTAAGCAGTAGGGATGGGAGGGGATGGGGACAGCAGCCCCAGGAGTCTCTCAGCTCATTCCAACTGGGAGGCTCAGCCCCACGTCCCGCCGGGGGTGCAAAAATAATCTCACAGCGCGCTAAGCTGGCTGATGTCCCCAGGTGTCCTGGTTTGCCTTTGAAGTCACCTCCTTGTTGACGCTTTCACGCTTTCCTCCCCAAAGCAAACGGTGGAACAGAGGGGATTCTGCTTTGCCTGCAGCCCCAGGTGGGGGGCCCAGCACCGCAGTGGGGTGGGGGCAGCCCTGATTTGTGCTGGAAATGTGGATTTGTCAGAAGTGCGCTTACTCACTGAGCAGAGGAGGTTTCAACAGACCTCGGAACTTAGAAATAGCCAAGAAAATAATTATCAGGTGAGAAATGTCTGCTTTCCTCTGCTCTGCCCTAGAGGAGACAGCAAGGGGGAAATTTTGATCATTGTTTGCCCTGTTTTGTCCCTGTCACATAACGTTGCAAGCCACTACACAAAATTTGTGCCTGCATTGGGCAGCCCTTTGGGGTCTGTGTTAGGAGAAAAAAGGGCTTGGGAAGACCTACAGGCTTTGAAAGGGCATATTTTAGAAGTAATGGGGGTACGAGTTTGAAGGAGTGGGAATAGGTTGGAATGAGAGAGTTGGAAAGACAGATTCATTGCTAGGAGGATGGGAGGAGTGAGGGAATGATGCAAGGATGGACAAACAGATGGCTGGAGGGATGGATGGATGAGTGGAGGATGGAGGGAGGGACAGACGGATGGAAGGAGGGACAGAGAGGTGGGTACATGGGCAGGGGGACTAGAGGCATGGATGGAAGGATGGATGGGCAGTGGCTGGTTGGCAGGTGGTATCAGTGGCAGGCTGGCTGGGCACAGCAGGGCAGGAGGGCCCACAGAGGAGCACTTGGCACCCTGCAGTGGCTGAGCTGGGTGCTGCCAGTCCCCAACACATAGGGTGGTCCTGTCCAGAGTCCCCCCTACCAGACGCATAGCCGTGGGGCGGGCAGTGGGAAGGTATGCCAGCGCTGGGGCTGCCACCATTCAGCAGCGTTGTCCCCAGAGCGATGTGTACCGACAGGACGTGGCACAGCTGCTGCCCGACCTTTGGGCCCCCAGCACATAGGAACAGACCTGTGGTCCCTGTCTGAGGGGCCCAGCTGTCCCAGGGAGCTGGGTGACACTGCGGTGACCTGATCACTGACAGCTGGGCCCTGCACGCTGGGAGGTGCTGTCGGAGGAATAACAGGAAGCACAGGGAGGGGAAAACAAGGCTGATGCCTTCTGCAGGTTGTTTTCCACCTCCTTCCCGGCTGGCCCTGCGTGCCCCCGCTGCCGCACGCCCATGTGCCCACCCTGGCCTTGACTCAGTCTGCACTGGTGCTCTTTATTGTTGAGGTTCAGCTCTGAAAAAGTGCTCACTGTTACAAAAGTACACGTTTATAAAATGTGCTCTGTACAAAGTCCGGGGGACTCAAACTCGGCATTTCCCCCCTCTCCTTCCCCATCTGGCAGTGCTTGGCATAGCGTGGGGAAGGGGAGAGGAGAGGGAAAAGGAGGAAAGAGAGAGGGATAGAAAGAGGAGAAGAAAAGAGAGAAGGGAAGGGGAGAGGGAATGGAAGGGAAAAAGATGAAGGACAAAGAGGACAGGAGGAGGCCGATGGCTGCCCCCACGCCCTGCAATCCCCAGGCTGCAGGACAGGACATGGCCATGACACAGGGACAGTGGTGTGGGGACCCAGCACCCAGAGTCATGCACCAGCACCGACTGCTGTTGGACAGAAGTGGCAGATCATCAACGTCCTCGGTCCCCTGCCCACCGTGCAGGAAGGCGAAGTGTGAAGGTAGGCCCTTTTGCTTCAGAAAGGCAGAAAATGGGTCTGGTTGAATTCATGGATATTGGGAGCTTAGCATTTACACTTTCTCCTCTATCGCCCAATAGTGGGGTCTGGAACTGCTGGAGGAAATGCACGTTTTGTCCATGGTCTTCAGAGGCTGCTTTGGCAGGGAGAGAGAAGACTTAGCAAAAAGAAAAGAAGGAAAAAAGGGATTCCAAGTGCCCCTATCCCAGGAAACAACATGGGAGGGTTCTACTCTCCTACAGGCATGGGGTTTGTGGGGTGCAGCCTGGAGCTACAGCACTGCCAGAGGTTCAGACTCGCCATGGATCCATGGCACAGGGACTGCTGTGATGTGCACCCAGCCTTCTCTCCACGCTGCAGTCAGGGCTCCCGGTTCAGCATGGGAATGGGGTCACCAAGCCAGAAGTTGCCTTATTTTTCCCCATTTTTCTTGTGGTTTTGTTTTGGTTTTGTTTTGGTCGGTTTGTTTATAAATGGCACATCTACACTCCAGCTACACACATGGGAAACACAGAAAACTGAACAGCTCACGGGAAGCCCCTCCTTGAGATGTGTCTGGCAGAAGGAATGGCTCCAGGGAGGGTGTAAGGGGTGGGGGGGCTGTCCCAAGCAGAGTCCCTCAGAGGGCAAGGATGGGAGCAAACATATCTTGGCAGCAAAGTGCTACGTGACTGCGGGAGTTTTACAGCTGGAGTGGAAGAGTCAGTCTTCAGCCCTACGCTCTGCAGGGATGGCCATGAAGACAGCGTAAAACACACATGAGAGCAGTGGCCATCCTGCTTGGACAGAGAGGCCAGTAGCTTTGTGGGTTTTTCTTCTTTTTTTTTCATTTCTTTGGAGTTCCTTTTGCCTCCCAACAATGGTTCCCCAAGCTGTCTGGCCAGGCTGGGTGCCAGGTATGGCCCAAAACCTGCACAAAACTTGAGAGGAGAAGGGGAAGGAGTAGGAAGTGGCTGGTAAAAGGAGATGCTTGCGGGGCTTCAACGCTTGTAGCTCTGGTGCTGTCTGCATGTCCAAGTTGTGGCAAGTGTCACCAGCATCTGGGGCTGTTCCCAATGAGCGCCATGTCCTGGGCTTGGCCCTTAGCTGCAGAGAACAAGCTGGATTTGGGGAACAGGAGGCTGCTGGCTCTTGTTCTACCAGTGCTGTTTTTGGGCTGAAAGCGGCGATTTCCGTGCTTTTCTCCCCAGGCAGTGGGCATCAGTATCCCCCAAGGCACGTGCTGCTTTTGGGGTTCTTTCTCACATGGGGTTTGCTCCGGCTGCAGACCCTGCTCTGTCTCCCCGAGCTCCTGGTCTGGGGTCTCCCCTGCACCCCCCTGCTGCTGCCTCCACTGTCCCAGCAGCTGGGGCTTCAAGCTCAGCTCAGCTTCATGGCGGTGACAGTGGTCCTGGGGGGCACCAGCCAGAGTGAAAATCCCCCATTTTGGGGCAAAAGAAGAGGAACTGTTCCCCGGTCTCCCCACAACAACCAGGCACAGGGGACAGTGGGAGGGGACAAGGACAAGGCACAGTGTCCCCGCCACGTGGTGGGGCTGGGGCGGGGAGCAGGGGAGGCTGGGTTGGCTGGGGGCAGAGGGGTGAGCCCCTGTCCCAGCCTCCCCAGCCATACCTAAACCTCCTCGTCCTCGCTGGCTTTGCTCCAGCGGTGACAGCAGTTGGCCGTGATGCCCAGCAGGAAGTTGGTGGCCACTGACGCGATGGAGACCACGAAGCCCACGAAGGCGATGAAGAGATAGTCATCCAGGGTCAGGGTGAGGTGGCACGCCTTGAAGCTCTCCTCCGTCAGAGAGAAGAGGGGCACCTCCTTCACCTCGGGGGGAGCCTGGCACTTGGCCAGCTGCGAATCTGCCAGGAAAGTGACATTAGCAGCTGGCAACACCACCGGTGGGGACGCGGAGAGGATGCTGGGGCCACCTACCTGACGTGCAGAGCTGGATGCGGCTCTTCAGCCACTTGAGGAAGGGCTCCATCGCGCAGCCGCACACCCAGGGGTTGCCGCCGATCCGGAGGGTCACCAACCCCGTCAGCCCCTCCAGCGCGTCCAGGCTGAGGGCCGACAGCCCCCCGTAGCTGAGGTCCAGCTCCCGCAGCTGCGCCAGCCCGCGGAAGGCCCTGGGGTGCACCGTGCACAGCCAGGGGTTGTGGCTGAGGTCGAGGCGCAGCAGCTCGCTGGCCTCCAGGAACATGTCGGCCGTCACCAGGCTGAAGTTGTTGTAGCTGAGGTCCAGGTGGGTGAGGCGGCGGGCGCCCAGGAACAGCCTGGCGGGCAGTGCGGCCAGCGAGTTGTTGCGCAGGTCGAGGACGCGCAGCTGGGCGTAGCAGGCCAGGTAGCCCAGCGGGATGCTGGCGATGCGGTTGTGGGCCAGGCTGAGGTTGCCGGTGTCCAAGGGCAGCTCGGCGGGCACTGAGAAGAGCCGCTGCCCGCTGCAGTCCACCGCCTGCCCGCGGCACGTACACAGCACCGGGCAGCCTGCACCGGCACCCGCCGTCACCACCGCCACCACCGCCACCAGCCAGGGGCCCAGCAGCATGGTGGGCCGGCGGCCTGCCCCCAGGCCCATCTCAGAGCCTGCAGTGTGCCATGCCAGCCGGCCTCAGTGCGGGGACAGCCTGCCGGCTGCACCGCGACAGCATCCTCTGCCGTCACAGTGCGGTGGCCATCCCAGCCGGGGAAAGGCTCACCCAGCAAAGTCTACTGGCAGTGGTGGAGGAAGCACTTGGGTCCGCACCCAGGCTCTGAGCTAGCAAAGCGACACTTGGGGCATCCCAGAGACATTCGGGGCCCACTGAGCCTCCCCACAGGGCCGGTGCGGGCTGCTTGCAGCTGCCTGCAGAAAAGAGGGGTGAGAGAAACCCAAGCTAACAGCAAGCCCTGCTGGAGCTGTGTGGCTCATGGGGCATCCACACCATCCCCATGAACCTGTGCCCCTCCTCATCCAGCCCCCGTGCTTTTAGCCAAACGGAGGGCCCAGCCACACCGACTCAGCTTGGCTTGTCCTAGCAGAGCCAGGGGGGTCCCCACCTTCAATGCTCTGCCCGCTGCCAGGGATGCCTTCTTTGCCAGCCCCCACAGGGATAGCCCCCTCCCAGCGCACGGCATCCCTTGCCCCAGCGGCCCCACTGCCGGCCTGCTCTGCCCCCGCTGCCTGGCCATCTTAGCTCCTTCTTCCCTCACCCAGCACGCCCATGCCCTCCCCAGCTCCATTCTTTCCCCATCTCACCCACTGTGCAGGGGAAACCACCGCCCCTGCTGCCCTCCTTCCCTGCCACGGCCGCCAATCCCTCCAATAGTGCCGGGGGACTGCGGGATCCCCGGGTACTCACGCTGCCTGGAGACAAGAGGGGCTCAGCTCAGCAGCCGCTGGGCTCGGGCGGTGAGACGGGGGTCCGTCAAGTTGGGTGCGTGGCTCCTGCAGCCAAGGCTGCTGCCGAGCCTGGCAATCAGAGCAGGTCTTTCCCCACCTCCTTCCTCCCCTCCTCCTCCTCGTCCTCCCTTGTCTCTCTCTTTCTCTTTTTTTTTTTTTTTTTTTTCCTTGAGGGCCAGATACTGACGTTTCGGTGTCTCTTAGCAACTGCCTCCACATCTCTGAGCAACAGGAGAGCAGGATGCAGAGCTGCAGAGCGATGGAGACGGCAGAGGGGAGCAATGCCCCCGCGATTGGGACATCCTGCTTGGGACGACTGTGTGGGATGGAGGATGACAGGTGGCACCTGGCTGCACAGTGACCCCAGCTGGTCCCTAGCCGCTCTCCTTGCACCCCTAGCCCCAGGGAGCACCCCTGTAGGATGGGGTGAACCAGGGCTTCCCAGGTCTTAAAACAGAAGCAAAATACGTGTCACTAGAAGAGAAAATAAGAGCAAATTAGTGATCTCAGCCAGCTGCCTTCACCCCAATGAACCCAGGCTGCACAGACCTGGTGGCCTGGGGGAGGGGTGGTGGTGTGAGGGCTGCGTTCCCATTTAAAAACTGTTACTCTGCTCATTTCATATGGTATTTTGTCTCTCCCCCCGCGCGGGACCCCCCCACCACCACACACTTGCAGTCAGCTTCTTTAAATGCAAATAGCAGTTTCAGGGACAAAAAAAAAAAAAAAAAAAAAAAAAATAGTTGCTCTAAAAACATTGCAACAACACTGGTATGACATTTTTTAAAGGAGGCACTTTCAAAATCTAGCCTGCTTGTGTATTTTCCCCATTTCTTTCAATTTTCTCCTACTGTTCTCACACAGCTGCCTCCCTCCCAGCCCCACCGACCCCATTTCTGTATCCCTGTGGATGCCCGGGGCTGCTGCTCCCCACGGGACGACTCCCCCTCGCCTACAGCTCGCAGCCAGACGGCGTGGCTGCCTCTCCCTGTGGTGGGTATTAATTGGCACTGCTCTCAGCCCGGGGTCCCAGTGGGTTTCAAGAGAAGCTCCAGGAGCCAAATACAACCAGACATCCCCGGAGCCAGATGCAGCTCAGCCAGACACGTAATTAGAGATAAGACCGTGCATGGCTGCAAATCTCTTCCAGAGCAACTATTAGTACGGAGATTTCCACCATTTAGGGCTGCATTTGCAGCAAATTAATGAATAAATAACCCTGACTAAGGCTGGTTGTTAATGGCCCTCAAGGCCAACTGGCAGAACTGAGCTCAGAGCCTCTTTGTCTTCCACAATGCAGGAGAGGTTGGTGACAACGAAGCAGCCTCACTGCGACATCACGGAAGCACCACGAACCACTGAGGTGGCCACGAGCATCCCTGGGGTGCTCAAGGCTGGGTTTGCCTCAAGGTGTGGGGCCCTGGGCAGCTTGAGCTGGTGGTGGCAGCTGTAGCCATGGCAGGGAGGCTGGAGCTCAATGACCTTTGAGATCCCTTCCAACATCAGGAATTCCATGAGATGCAACCTGCTTTTAGAGACAGACATCAGTCTTTATCCTCCTGCTCTTTGCCAGGTCAACCAACGAAAGCAACCAGAGTCCCCTTGCAAGAGCCCAGTCCCATAAAACATGCACGCATGGCATAAAAACACAAGCAGAAGAGTGCTGCCTTTTCAGATCACTGCTCCAAGTTTGCTTTCTCCCTTTGCTTTTTTGGGAAGGCATTGGCAGTGCTCCCAGTTGTGGGCTGCCTCAATGCACCCACAGCCCCCAGCCAGGCTCATCCTTCAGAGCCTGCAGTGACTTTGGGAGCTCAGCTCGTTGACTTCACCTTATGCTCAGATTGGGCTTCATCTCTTTTATGGGAATCACCTGGTAGCCCGCTTCATTCAGTATATGTGTTCAAGCTGTGAAGAGAAGGAGGAAAGTATATCAGTAATAAAATGCATATTGGTCCAGTTTCCTCAATATCAAACTCAGTGCTCTAGTCTAGTTCTTATTTTACTTTTTAAATTATTTTATTTAAGTACTCTACAGCCATTAATAAGCTTACACCAGCCCAGAATGCCATTAGGACTCAAGGAACTAGGATCTTGCCAGGATCCGGACAGCAATACTTACAAAGGGCTTTGTTTGACTTTGTTTTGGGTCTCTTTCCATCCAAGAGACATTTTTAGTTTGGCTGACACTCTTTGCAATTACGAGATGATGGCAGAAAGCCAGAACCCAAATCTGCTTTCTGAGCCCAACACAGCGCATTTGTGCCAAGGTAGGGTTTTACAACTTCTAAATGCTTTGTAATCAGCTAAGTAGGTTTTGCTCCTGTCGGATTTGCTTTGTAGTTTCAGTAAGGAAGTAGATGGTTTTCCTTCCTGCGATGCCTTTATCTACAAATGGCATCAAAACTGAAGGCTGTTGTGCAGACAAGAGCTGCAGGTGGGGTACTGCTGCTCTCCTTTTCATGCCTTGCGTGTCATTACCTCATTTTTGCAGGTTCAGTCTCAGAAAAGCTATGCTTGCTTACAGCTGTTCCTCATTGCCAGGAGGGTGCCAATTGCTGGGAGGAGCCTGAATTTCAGCCCCAGGGCTGCTCCCCATCCTGCCCATTCCCCTGACAGCAGTACTGGCAGTCTGCTCTGAGTCCTTTGCTCTGAGACTGCCTGAGCTCGTGAAGACTTTTGCTTGAGCCAGACTTGGGACTTTCAGGTGGAGCAGCCCCTTCCCCAGTGGTAGGATGCTATGCTGTCCTTGTGGGGATGTGGCTCGGGTAGTGACACATGTCACACAGGGCTGGGGCTCTCCCCCTGGCACTGCTGCTCTGGGTACTTGAAGCCTTTTCATAGCTGGATTTTAAGAATGGGGGGATGCATGGAGAGCTGCAGGGAAGGAGGCTTGTTCCTTCAAGGCAGCTGGAGAAGGCCAACTGGACAGACACCAAAAACCTTGTGTTGGACTGCTGTGTCAAGGGCTCTGCCCTGGACACCATGATTGATAGTGGTGCTGGAGCACAGTCAGCTCTGCAACGTGGCTGCTTTGCTCAGGGAAAGCAGAGGGCCCAAGGCTAGACCCCAAGTTCATAGAAAATCCCAAGTTGGAAGGGACCCAACAAGGATCCATGGCTCCACCTAGGACCACCCAAAAAAATCAAACCCTGTATCTGAGAGGGATCTCAGGAGGCACAGACACATGGGTAAGATGGTGGGCATCAGACAAGGAATTTGTGGGATTTTAATACAGCGCCTTCACCTGTTGCTGGAATCTTTATGAAAACATAGAGCAGAAGGCTGCTGGAGGGCAACAGGAGGAAGCAAAGCAGGAGCTGGGGCATGTGCAAGTGCCTGGCCCAGGTCACTGTTCCTCCCATCCCTGCTGGCACAGCAAGGATGCTCTGCACACCATCTGAAAGGCTGCAGGAATGTATTTTGAGTCTTCTGTTGAGCCTACATTTGGGAGAAAAAAATGGGAAAAAAATGAGGCCTATTTATGGATACTGAAGATAGCTTGAGGCATCATCACTGACTGTAAGTCAAAGGGGCCTGCCCCTTATTATTGCACTCTCCCTAGATATAATTTGGTACCACATTTTTACATTAACGAGTCTCCACTACAACACTGTAAGAGAGAAAACTCATTTTCAGATGGAAGAGTCACAGTACTCTTGGGAAGGGATAGAGCCATCCCACAGCAGGGGCTATATTTTTCACCAGGGTACTCTGACAGTGAGCTTAGAAAGAGGGAGTCTCTCAGAGGTGGATTGAACTCATCCTTTCACACAACATCAGCTCTTTGTCCTGGGCCTTGCTATGTAGTTGAGTGGATGCTGTTCCGTCACCCTGGCTTCCTGTTCACTTGCTACAGCACTGTGCCATTACTGCTGGATACTGCCCTGCAGCTGCACTTTGGCATCTTATCACTAACAGCTTGGAGATTTGCATTGCATTTTGTCACTTACAGCTGGGAGATTTTTATTTTTCACTCTGGAATGAGCTGGAGCTGCTCTCAGCATTGTTGCCCCCAGGGACACGCCAACAAGGAAATTCAACAACAAACAGAAAACCAGATACAGCTGTTACAGATACCATGCACATCAGATTTGGAAGAGATCCTTGGAATGCTAAAAGTACCTTCCAACATGCATTGCCAGGCTCTGGTTGCATAGGCTCAGGGCTGATCCTCCTGAGGAGCACAGGAATTACTACCTGGAGCTGAGATACACGTTATAGATCCAGAAAGGACCTCCTCCTCTGTGAATGGGAAGGAACAGAGCTGAAGGTGCAGAAAACTAGAGTGAGTCAATGGAAAAAGTATGTGAAACCTCTGTGTTTGCTCCCTGGGATTGGGAGCACACCAAAACACACCTTAGATGCCAAGGATTTTCTTCACTATCTATAGTTTTTTCATCATGGTTTGTATTTTGATGAAGCTTCCAATATTTCCATTCATTCCTAGGGTCAGTAGCAATGCTCTGTGACCCTCCCACGATCAAGGCATCGCCCCCAGGGATGGTACCAGGCCCATGGGTCTGATTTCTCTCCCATTACTAGAAGCACCACTACACAAACAGCTAGCTTGATTAAGCACAACCCACTTAAATTTTCCAGTCACCCTGCCCATCACAGCTTTCATCATAGGAAAGAATGATGAATGGCACCAGCACGATGCCTAAATCAGGGCTGCACTAGGAAGCAGACCTCCCAGGTTTCCTCAGAGCCTGGCAGGACTCAGCCACCTTCTTGGCCCAACCACTTCCTCTGAAATTGCTTCAAGTCTTTTAGTGACTACCTGTCTCAGAGTTGAAATGCTCTGACAGCAGCTGTGGTTTTGGCAAAGGCACTCCTGTGAACTTCCTGCTTAACATCAGAAAGTCAAGTTTGTGGTTTGATGTATGCTGCTTGCTCTGGCACAGAGTTTGGGCTGAAATGAAACCAATTCCTCCCCAAGCGTGATGTCAAATCACAGCCCGTTTAATCCTGCCAGGAAACCTCATTCCTCCTCCACACAGGCACCTTTGGCCAGCCCCAAATGAGAGCTTGACCTCCAGATTCTTCCTCTACCAGGATCCTGAAGTGGCTGCCTTCTTGGCTGTATGTAATGAGGTAATCTGTGGAGTCAGTTACATGGAAAACATACATCACTGGTCCAGCACTAGGGCAGTGCAGGGCTGCACTGGAATAGGAGTGGGGATGTTCTTAATCTCTAGGCACTCGAGCAACAATCACCCAGAAATAAGTAAGCCCCAGCTCTGCACCTGCTGGCCTGAGATATGAGATCCCAGAGCACCACCCTGTATCACCTAAGGTGTGATATACTCTCTGCTGTACTCATGAACACAGCCCAAGAGAGGAGAACTGAAGAGAAGGGAAGGAATGGTTACTATGGCCAACGTGAGACCTGGCTGTCACTCAGAGACTTTGCTTTTTCATATATTCTTCATCACTACATTCTGCAGGGCTTAACTGATTTACCTGCTCTTTGAGCATCATTGTCATTACCGAGCCATGGCATGGACTTGCCCTCCAGGAGCAGGAAGGACAGTGAGATGCATAACATGGAGCTACAGCCAACCCTATGCAGCTCTGCGGGAGCTTAGGAAGCTCTGCAGCTTCCCCAGCATGCAAGACCAGTCCCTAAGCAACCTGCACCAGAGCCACCGGATGCACTGCAGGGAGTCTGCTGCCACTCAGCACAGCCCTGGGCATGCACAGGCAGGGGGCACTGAGCAGATGATCTCAATTCAGTCCTAAGAAAATCACTGCTTACCTTTTCTAAGTCACAGCTTCAAAACAAATCTGACTGCGGCCTAAAAGCAAGACTGTATCCTCAAGCCTCCTAGGAAAACAGCACTAAGAATTTAGCTTTGGTTCCATTTTTCCATGAGAAAAGCCAAACCAATTACACAACACTTCGAAATTCTTTAAAGAGTCTAAACAGACTTTTCTAGATGAAGAAAAAGATTCTGGTTCAGTAACAAGAGATCAGAAGAATGCACGGTTGAAAGAAAGATACTGGTGGATAAAAGCATTGTTAAACACAACTGTTGTACAGAATGGGTTATGAAAACATTACAAACCCTCCCCCCCCATCCTGATTTTTAAAAATTTATCCCCACAGCAGTTTCATAGCTTTCTTGGGTAAGATCCTGCAAGTGATTTGAGGAAATACGTAATGGAGCAATATAATCTCTTCAAACATCTGCACTTGCACAAAACACAGCCAGCAGTCTCAGAGCATACCAGCTACAGCATCATCCTAGTTTAGTAGGAGGAAGGAGAGAAACCAGCATCGATGGACTTTATTCAATGTTTTATTTTTGTACAAAAAGGTTTAAAATGGTAAGCAATCTGCATGCTAAGAAAATAAAACCAATACGTCACACTATCCAAAAGCCATTTGTTTCCTCAGTTTTTGAAGTTGCAAGCTATGCCACAAGTTGATTTGGGCCCAGGTGGGGAATGCCAAACTGCTGAGCTCGTGCGTTTGAAATACCGAGGCTTGCTCTTGCCAAAAATATCTTCCAGCTTAGGGCTTGCTATCAACCCAAAGAGTTGGTCAACATTCACTGGATGATAATACTGGTGCAGAATGGCTTGATTAAGCTGAGACCCTATGAAAACAACCATATCAGAGAAACAGACTCAAATAAGTTGTCAGTGCTCTGCTTAAGGTGTCCTTTCCCTTAGAGCCCACAAGAACAGTTACTCTTCTTCATCCACACCCCCTAAACAAACACTGCAACCTGCACAGTGAATGTGATAAACAGTCTTCCTGGTCACTGTAAAGCTTTAAGCACCACATCCATCTCTGGGTTGCCAACAACATTTGTTTTATGTCACTTGTCACCACACTAGAAATACCCCAAACTTGCCACACCTTGGTTTACCACAGGGGGAAGGACTGCCTCAAACTGATGAGCCCACACCATTCTCTCACACCCTTGAATCCAAACACGCACAGAACTCTGGTTTAGCTTTGACACAACAGCACTTGCAAGAAAGCAGATCCAGCCCCTCTCACCAAGCAGCTGCCAACAGTGCTGAAGTCTCACACTCCTGAACTGTACTTTAAGGAAGCTGAGATCACGCTGAACAGATCTGGAGAGCTCCTGCTTCCCGGGGAAGGAATTAAAAGACTAATCAAACATGGCACCTACCATCAGCCCAGGCAGGGACAGGCTTCCGAGGTTCATTCTCATCATCTGTGGAGTCATCACTGTTCAGATCCATCCCATAGTTATTGGGGGACCTGGATTCTTTTGTGCCCTTTGAAGGTGCTAAGCAGGATGTGGAGATAGGTTTCTGAAACCACAGAGACAACATTTATGAGAGCAGCAAACATACCTTGCAGCCTGACAGAAGAGTTTGCTTTACCAGAGCAGGCTTACCCAGTCTGACCCCTTGCAGGCATCTCAAAGCTCTGGCATTAGCAAGACAAACAGGCTGTACTCAGATCCCAGATTAGATCCCACAGCAATACGGTGTTAATGTATCTATGGTAGGAACCCTCACACTAACACAAAGCCATGAGTTAAGAGGGAGGTTTACAGTGCCCCATGTTGGTAGCCAGAAATAAGAACTGACAGCAGACTTTCTAGAGCAGATTCTTCATATACACATTTACTTTCATTCCTAGTTCAAGAAACAGGAGAGCAGAAAGGTTACTCAATTGTGTATGGGAAAATTTTCACCTCCACAAGAACTGAAACACTTGTAATATTCTTTTTTGACAGGTTATTTGGGTTGAAATTTCCAGAAGTGCTCAAATCCTTCTGGCTTTTTTTTTTTTTTTTTTCCTCCCAGATCTGTTTTGAAACCATGACTTGATGAAAGCCAAGCCCAGAACTGTATACCACAGCAGGAACTGCAAACTGCAGAACTCAAACAGCTGCTTGTTCAACCTGCAGCTTTCTAGTTGTGGAGAACTGCCTGCCAGCATCTGGTGAGCATGGAACTAGGGCTCCATTTCTCTTTGAAGCTGCAGGTCAGAATAACACAAGACAAAGCCTGGAGGAACATGCTGCCTTTGCAGTGAAGAACAGGGAATGTCTAGAAGACCTGGCAGTTGCATATAGAGCAGAAATGCCTATAAGTACTGACCAGAGGACAAGCCAGGAAAGGCATCATTATGGAGATACTGCACAGACTACTGGCATACCCCTCAGAAGTGTCTGTACAGTGGAAAGCACAGTAGGAGGAATAAACTTGATAAAACAGTGATAAAACAGTGCTACAGTTGCAGGGCTGTAGTTATGTTAGGATCACAGAGGTGTGGTGCAAAGAAGGTGGAATCACGTACTCTTTTTTAGTGCCCAGCAATAGTACAAAAGGCAATGGGAGCAGCCTAAACTGAATTTCAGGCAGTTGGCTGAACACCAGGAAATGCTTTTTTTGCTGTGGTTGTCCAGAGAAGACAACTTTCTTAGAGATAAGGAAAACCTGTCTGAAAACAGTCCAATGTAAGTTGCTTTACGTGATCCTGCTTGAACAGAGGTGTTGGACCAGCTACCTCCAGAGGACCCTTAACCTCCACTATTTTTTTTTGCAGTGTTCTTCACGTTTAATCCAAGTACAGGAACAAGGAAATACAGATGTGCTTATTTACTCTGTATAAGTACAAAACCAGTCACTGTATTCTGTGACTTGTAAGCCTCTTCTGGTTTGTTTTGTTCTATAGCTCAAACCCATACACATGTTTGACAGTAGATCCGATTTTCACTCTCTACAACTGACATACATAATAAAGTCAGCCACAGGAAACCAGTCAGAAGGGACACTCAGGGCTGACTGAGTCTTTTAGCAGCTTTTTCTCCACCCCTCCAGACTTCAGGAGTAAACAGTTCAAGTTCAAACAAGCATCTGGAGATTTAAGTAGCTAAATAGACTTCACAGGCAAGCCTGAATCAGTGCTGCTACCGTGTAGCTGAAGGCTCTGCAAGCTGAACTGACACCTCATGGTGTGCTGCCATCCTGTGGTCATTTCCAGCATCTTTTCAAGGAGAAAACAATCGCTTTTCGTTCATCTTCTCCTGTGCTGAACTCCCAGCTAAGTACCAGATAAGAAAAACTCCTCCATCCTCACTCTACACAACTTCAGTTAAACCTCAACAGTCTATTTTGAGGATTTCATCTCCTGGTCACCTTCTTCATCACAGCCAAGTAATAAGTCAGCAGGTTAACAACAAAACATAAGAGCAAATCAGATACCACAGATCCATTTCAAGGGCTCCACTGGAACTGAAGCTCACCTTCACAGTTTTGCTCAGCCACGTGCTGGAGGCAGCAGTAAAAGATTCCGGTTGCTCGATTTTCTTCTCTTCAGCCAGCTGCTGCTGGGGCTCCTGCAGACCATGTCCCTTCTGTCAAGATGTAAGAATTAAGCTATTCATTAATGTTCACCCAAGCAAAACAAGCAGGCTATATCTGGAATTTATTTTCTGAAGAAATTCTCTATTCCTTTGTCTTCAGCAGGGTGAGGGGGAAGAAATTAAGAATCACACAGATAAAGTGACAGCTGTCTTGGCTCAGATTCACATCAGTGAAGTCTCTAGAGCCCGCACTCTTATCACTTTCAGCTAGTTATTAGAGGTCACTGCAGTGGATTCTGGTCGCTTGCCTCTCTTCTACTGTCCAAACAGCTGATGCAGATGTTCTGGGCTTCCTTCCTTCTAACAAAGAGGAAAGCATTGCAGTACTTCAGCTCCTTTTCAACCCACACCACTTGATCCAGGTGTTTCATCTGCCACTCTCGTTAACAGGGGAGAAGCTAACACAAGAGGAAGAGCTGTAGCCACTCTAAATTAGATTCAGCTTCTTTCTTACCTGGAGAAGCTTCACCATGCCCCAGTATAGTAACCAGTAAACAGCCCAGTTGCTGGTTATATGCTGGAATTCAAACTTTCATTAAATTTATATAGCAAAAATAGGAGCCCCGTGGCTAACAGCTTCTAAACTAAGCACAGTCAGAACAAAAAAGAAGAAAGAATTTATCCTCAAGAGTGGTACCATTTGGGAGTTTGATTATGTTTTAAATTAGTGCAGAAGGCAGACGAGTGAGGGATTATTTAAAGTGGAAATAAAATATTACTATGATATTTTGCAGCTTTGACTAATAGCTAACCTTGAAACACAAAGAAGTAACAAAGGACTTGGAAAGCAAGTCCCACTTTAAAAAAAAAAAAAAAGATGTCTGCATGTTCTATGCCTTACTACTTTACAACAGAATTTGTCACAAGCCACTGTAATGCCTCACCGTTGTGTTTTTATCAGTAAACACCATGGACTCCATCTGTGAATAGGGGGCCTTCTCTTTCCCCCACTGCTTGAGATCCCTGGGAAACAAAATTATAGTTTAGTTACACAGAAAAGCATGTTTCCACCCTTCCCTCCTAGCTTTCTTACAGGCTCTTGCTTTAGCACCCCAAACCTTTGGAATCACCTGACACTCACATCAGATTCCCAATTGCAGAAATACTGTTTATATTTATTGCTTGTTGCTAAGGCCCCCTCTCCAGAATAGAAACAGGCTAATACCTCTCCTTCGTTTGTTCCACCTGTTGCTGCTTTACAAGATTTTTCAGTTCCAAAACTCTTCCTTTTTCTTCCACTTCAACTTCTCTCCTCTTCTGCAGCAGTTCTTGCTGCTCAAGTTCACATTCCTCCTGAAGAACAAACAGATCTGTAGCCCTCCAATTCAAGTTGGAAAAGATGGTGTGGATATGAAATGGGTGCTTTGAGACAAATCATGCTCATTAAATCCTTTTCTTATCTTTCACAGCCTACCCACTACCAGTTGGGCAGTATTTCCTTTCTGTCTCCACAGGTTCCCAGGTGCTCAAATCCAGCATTAACTGTCTAGACAGAAACCTTGCAGCAGATACTTCGATTTCCCCAAATCCCCATGGCTCCTGGCAGTAACTGCTCCCTGTGCAACCAGGCAGATCAGTGCATGGATTCCTTTCCTTTTCTATGTGCAGGAGGGATCTAGAGCTGTTCTTACCAACTTCAGTATCTTCTGCTTCCGCACATCACTTTCCCAAGGTTTCTTTGAAAGCTTTTTCTTGCTCCGTTCCTCAGACACCTTTTCTTCCCGCACCTGTGAGAGACGCACCTGAAAAAGCCCCATGCATCTGCTCCACCACCCCTCATTTACCAAATGGAGGGTAGGGAGGATAGGGAGAGCTTCTTAAGTATGAAGACTGGCATTCAGTCTTATTCTAATAAGACTGAGAACCCAGCACCAGGCACACGTGTACTGTATTTAGCACCAACCTTGTGCAAGTCCATCACTTACTACAGGTCATGTGATGAGAAACCCACCACCTGGAGTGCTGAAAGAAGAGCACAGAAGCTGTTACAGATATACAAAATACAAGCTTTCATCCTGTATGTGATTCTCTGCAGAACAAGGACATCTAGCATCTTATGTTTTATCTCAAAATGCTGTACGCTGCAGCTGAGCTGCAGTACTGCAGTATGAATTGAGGACCTGAAACCTGAGCCCCAGATACTGTGCTTTTGCCAGAGCTGTCCCAGTCAGTGCATTATTCCTTCTTTTTCTAGGGCTGAGCTTTTCCAAAAGTCAGTCTAGCCCACTCTTTAAAGTGAGCAACCATATATTTTCCTGGAGCTCCATCCAGGTTAGCTTAACACAGCCTCCCTCATTTCTGAAGAACCTGTACTGTTGTACAAAAGCAGTTCACATATTGTCATCAATGGCTGATGCTGGCATACTTCTTTTCTATCTGTCCTTAAAAAAAGGGAGGAGACAAAGCCTTAAAAACAGACACAAAATGAAACACACACAGTTGTTGCTGCCACATCTACTAATCACGCACATTCCTTGCTCACTTGGTAGCTTTTCCTTCCTGCCATGCTTCTGCAACCTCTGTGGTTTCACTGTCTGTAATGCGGTACAAACAACTAGATGACACTGTCTCACTGCTGGGTCTGTTCACAGGACAGTCAAGGGATGCGGCCACATTCCTTGAACACAGAGCACTACAGACACTGCATGTCAGAACAGGAACGTGTAGAGTGGCAGAGGTATGGAGAACAAAAGCCTCTCCTTGTTAGACAGAGAATTTCAAAACCTATTTTAGATGCAGACTTTCCCACCACCTGATTAGTCACCGTGAGCAGCAGCCCTGTGCTTGCACACATCATTCCAGTGGCCTGTTTGCACCCGCTTGATCTCACAGCTCACTGTGATAATTTCATTATTCTGAATGGCTCAAAGCTTAGTCAGGCTTCTAACCTTTTCATCACTCTGTAAAATCTTCTGTTCCATCCGTTTTTTCTTCTCTTCTTCCATTTGTTCCACTCGCTCTCGAGCCTGCAGTGCTTTCCTCAGTCGTTCTTCCCTCTTCCTGAGTAATGTGTGTGCAAGAGGGGCCTGTTAGCTTTGTTTGCTCTAACACAGAGGATGACAAGGGAACAAGGATCTACAGTAGTAACTTGAAGTTGTGGCTCATTTTCTAACACAGCAGCAGCCTGCCACGGATCATGAGAAAACAATTATTTTGCTCAAACTGCTTTGTCTGAGCTTAACCTCAGCTCACATGTGGATTTAGGCCACCAGAAATCAGCAGGTGCTTTACACTGATGCAGTTATTACTGCAGCAAGCCATGAGCAGCCTTGCTTGAGATATGAGCCCAGGGATCATCCTCAACTAAATGTTCCTTCTGGGTGGGATGCACAAAGCATGGTATAGCAACACTGCCTGCCTGGCAGGAAGAAGAAAAAAAAAAAAAAGAGACTTCAAGGCAACTCTGCACTGAACCAGGGAAGGAGCAGGATGTAAGGGACTCAACTCACTGCTTCATTTCTGCCTGTCTCCGTCTCTTTTCTTCCTCCACTTTCTTCTTCCTTTGTTCCTCAGCCTCCTGTTTCTTCCTGAGGCTTTCCAGTCTCTGTCGCTCCTTCTCCTAAAGGGAGATGAGTTCAGACTATACCAATTGCTGGGTCCTGTTTCTACCCTCAGGCTGCTTGTGCAGTAGCAGCTAGAGGCTAAGCTGCCTGCTAAACAAAGAAGTCCCTATCATGTTCGCCCACACACAGGGATGGAAAGTGAATAGTAGATAAGAAACAATGCAGATTTGGCAGCAGCACTTATTGAACCGCACCACCTTCTCAGAGCAGAAGAGTCATGGGGATGGCAGGAAAACACTTAAGTCTTTCAGCTGTTCAGAATACGTTTCAGGTAAGAGAAGTTACCCAGCACTCTGCAGCTGTAGGTGACTGCCTGTAGTAAACATTTCGTGCCCAGGTCAGTGTTACCTATGTGAGCAAGTGGAAGAAGGAGGGAGACAGAGTGCAAGTAGTCATGCTTAGAGGCCAAAAGGTTTCTTAGCAGTTCCCAGCTCTGGCAGAATACACCTGCAAAGGAGATCTTGCCACCTCACCACCACCATGATCAATTTACATTTTTGGATAGAAGAATTGTGTGGATGCCAATGCAAGAAGAAAGAGCTGTTAGTGTTGTGAGACAAGAAGCACAACCACCATAGTCCTCCAACCCCACAGTTAAATGTGTCATTACTTACAACAAAGTCTCCCTGTAGAGAAAAGACACACAATGAATGTTTGTAAGAAATACCAGAAGCCTGCACCACCCCTGTTAGCTGCAGCTCCTTTCAAGTACACGCTAGGAAACCCACTGCATGACCCCACAGTCTGTCTTTCAGCCCTGAAGCAGCCAATTATGTGACACAAAGGCAGATTCCCATTGCAAAATGAGACGCTTCCCATTTTACCACAATTGAACAGTTCTAGAACATAAAGTGTCTCTGCTGACTATAGGCAAAGCAGCGAGATTTCTCTGCATCTGAGGACAGACTGATGACTGGTACTAAACACAAAACAAACAACCCTGGCTAGTAACAGTGTTTGTGGCCTTGCCTTGCTTCAACTGTCCAAATAGTTTCCCTCCACTGGGGAGGCTGAGGTAGAATTATGAGGACAATTTGCTGTTAAGACCTACACTGATCCATGGCAGCCAACAGAACCAGGAATATATTTGTGCTTTTCTAAACAGTCATCCTGCCACTCCCCCAGACTTGATCCTCTCCTCCATCTCTGTGAGGGGAAGTGGAATTCTGATGCACCTTAAGATTAGGTCGGGTGGGAGTATTGCATTTGATGAAATTCTTTATGACACCTCCATGTTCTGTGGACCCAGAGGTTGTAAGTAGCTGGTTTCTCTGCACAGCCTGAAGGAAGTTTTTCAATGGTCTAACCACCTAAGAGGAAAAGATAGAAGGAAATTACCACCTGCTAGGGAAAGGAAGGCAATGAGAGGCCATGGCAAAGACTCACCTTGCTAGCTGGAGAAGCAGAAGGTGGAGTCAGGTTTGCAGAATTCATGTGCTTGTCATCCAGAGGGGAGCGGGCACCACCTGGATGCTGGCGGTTCCATACAGCACCCATTGCTTGCTTATAGCTTCTTGTCCTGTTGGCATTAGCAAGAGGGACATGAAGTCTGCATTAAGCTCCTCAAGTATTAACAGGAACATTTACTTACTGTTTCACAGATCCCTCTCCCTACCACTACCACCAGTTTGGCCTCCTAGGAGTCAGTAAACTATGGAGCAGGAGCACCATCTAGTCATTAATTATGGACAAGAAAGGCACCTGACAACTTGGTAAGGGAACACTCAAATTTCAGAGGAGTGATACACAACATCACTCCCATTCTCATTCCTCACTCACATAATTCCCAGAAAGCAATGTATATCATATCTGGTATCAACAACAAAAGACAGACACAATCCACACGTGTTAGCAACTAGCCATTCCCACCCACCTCACTGGCAGGGTTTCATTTGCTTTATAGACACTTTGGATATTCACAGAAACATGACCCTTGTCAGAAATCCCCCAATGTGCACCCACTAATTTCAGTGGGAAACAGGGGGACCACCTTACCGCACAGCTGGGGCCCAAACCAGCAACAGTTCCAAGGAAAGCTGCAGATTCTGACCCATCACATATGGGTAACATAGTTAAGCACCCACATGAGAACAGAGGTTACTGCTACTCTCCGTTCCCACCCATCACCCACAGCAAATCCACCCCAGCAAAACTTAACAGGACAGACTAAGGACAAAGCTAAAAGCAGTTCACATCTCACATAAAACATCAGTAATATAAGCAGCGAGAAAATAAGTCAGGCATTCCAGACACTTGCACAAGATAAAAATAAATAGGTAGGTCACCTGCTTGGGTTGCTGTCTGAAACTACTCCCAGACCACCCCTTCATGAACCACTCAGAGCTGCATTTAAGCTGTGAGGTAACAGCGCTGTTTTAGTAATCTTTGCTGATTTGTGCATGAATTAATCCATCTGGGATCCAGGTCTGGCTCAGGGAGCAAAAAAGGCCAGAGAAACCACACGGAGCTCCCACAGCACAATATTCCAAGACTCCTCTGGGGAGGGGACAGGAAGGGAAACACCCTAAGCTTTTTAAATTATTTAAACAGGCCGAGCCTAACTCCTCCCAGACCATAGGTTCATTCCTCTCTTGCAAAGGTCTCATACCATAGGCGTGAAGGATTCTCTTGGGACTTGGCACAGTGGGCTTGTTCTTGGTTCTTGTTCTGGGCTTCACTCTTGGGATTTACACAGCTTCCTGTGAAGAAACCTGTAGTCAACACCACATTCAAGGCATTCTGCAGGGCTCTTACTCCAGTTGAAAGCCCCATGGCACATAACCAAACTGCAAACGCAGAAGCCAAGATGGCTACCTTGAATACTGTACACAAGTATCAAAGAATGCATCTTGTACAGAGCCTTCTGATTAGGCACAACCTGTCTCACCAGAAAGACCGCAGGTACTCTTAATTCCATTCCAGCTATGGCTGCTGTGAAATCCTACAGATCCCACAGAAGACACTCTAAATATCTCCACGTCCTTGCTTTGAGGCACAGTAAATATGTAAGATGTTTAAATCCTCACCGAATGCAAGACCAAAGATGACAAGGTTGTCAAGGTACTTTAGCAGAGTATTATGCATAGAAGAGAACAAATCTGAGTGTTGTCTCAAGTGTTCCCACGTATTCATTATGAAGACTGAAGTTTGACTGAACCATGTTTGTCTCAAGGCTTGGATACAAACCTTCGCAAGGATTTACAAGATGTCCTTGCTTATCTAACTGCATGCCTCATCCCCTCAGGAGATAACAGTTTTTTCAGGTAAACCTATATTGACTGGTCAAGTGTAGTTTTGTTTCAGCACAAATCCCAGATTTCCCGTATACCTCATGTAGAATCCTTAGTCTGTGTTCCTCTGAGGCCTCATACAAGAAATACAAGACTACCTCAACATTACCTTCATTATTCTCTGTCTGCTGCTCAGGAGACAAGTGCTGTGCAGGAGGGCTGACATCTTTTTCACTTTTGCTTGAAGTGAAAAAGTTTTCAGGAGCCTAAAGGAAAGGGAAACAAACATTAGCTTAGCCCTGAGGAACAAGACTGCAACAAACCTTCAATCCTGAAAAAAGAAGAAAAACAACCCAGTCACTCCCAACTGCAAGCCTACTGCTAGCCTAGGGATTCTTCCACCCAACCAGAGTCGTGCTAGACAGATACATGCTGATTCAATTCAGTAACACAGGACCCTGCTTGTGAAACTCCCACCAAGGCTGGTAAGATGACTGTTGCCCAGCGTTTTCCTCATCAACAGTAGGACACTTTGATTTGACTTTAGGTCAAATAAAGTGCCTCTGGGATAAAGGACAGCTTCTATACACTTCGGAGACAAGTTCCAACTACAGATATTCTATTCTTGAATGAAAGAAATCCCTTTAAAGTATCTAAGATTACAGTATAATGATACACTTTAAATACCATTGGTAGTATATTCTCAGGAGTATAACCAAGTCATTGAAGCAGCATACAGGCTGCCTGCACACACACACAGGATGTGCCCTTCCCTACCTGCTAAGCTACCATCACCCACAGTAGAACCAGCTGTCCACTCATCCTTCTGCAGCTTCCCAATGGCACCAGTGAACTGGTTGGAGGCAGAGCCAGCCCCTTTCTCTGCTGGGCTAATTTTCAGATAAGCTGGTTTACAGTACAATCACACAAGATATTTTTGCCAGTTCAAAGGATAGGCTGTTTCTTTGTCTTGCTAGCATTGAAGACTTACGTGAGCTTGTCGTGTACACAGCCTCTCTGGTAAAATAAAGCACATTAACTTGAACTGCCCTTCTGAATCCTGTAATTCAAATCGGCCAGGCAACAAAGACTTGCTAAGAATATACACAGTCAATCACCATGCCCAGATGACAGGCAAAAGCTTGCAGACTCCTGGGAATCTGTCCAACAGCCTATGAAAGCTCCATCTTAAAGAGGCCTTAGCAAGGCACAAAAGGCCTCCATCCACCAGGAGCTGTGGCCGACAGGCATAACAAGCTGCCCAAGCATTAGAAAGGCTGTACTATCCAACTCAGCAATGCTTTTGCTAAGCTTGAAGAGATGTGATATAATCAATCCTGGGCTGCACTCCTCACATCCAGTCATAATGCTTCCAGCAGCTCTGCAGAAGATCAGCAGGTCATCCATCAGAACTCACCTTTTCACTTGGGGAGTTCAGTTCCAGTCCAGTTCTGCAAAAAAGAAAGCATCTTGATTATTTCAGTTCTCTGAAGTAAAAGAAACACTGCTTTGTCCTTGGTGCACCTCTACCAGGACAGCATTCAGAAAGGTGAACTATAGGGAATGCAAATACGATAAAGCTAGCATATGGTACCCAAGGAAAAGGCAGGCAAGTGTTAAGTACATCCAGATAAAGGCAGGAACCTGTTTGAGCCAGGCCACGCAGAGATGGAACTGTAAATTCCTCTGATGGACTGTTTAATTACACTGCTGAATAATACAGTGAGCTTTGTTCTTCCCTTTTCCTGTAGTACTTCCATGCAGGAGGTAACAAAGTTCTGCGCACCTCAGCCAGAGAGCATCTTACCTGTTCACCTTTCAAATCAGACAAGCTGACTAACCTCCAGCACCTCCTGGCATCCAGAAGCTGGTTAAAGCCAATGGCTGCAGGACATGATTCACATGATAACAGACAGAGCCATCGCTAGTAGGCTCTCAGAGCTTGAGGCATAGGGCTGGATCCTGCATTAATGCAGTGATCAACCTCACTGTTAGCAAGAACAAGCTTCTGAAAAGGATGGGGCTGTGTCTGAACAACAGAAGCTTGGAAATATCAACAAACTCCAGGTGATGACATCACATGGAACAGTCAATTACAAAACCACAGTCCTGCAATACAGCAGCAACCTCTACAGCTTCTGTATTCTTTGCAGGTGTTTTTTTTTTTTTTTTTTTTTTTTTGTGGTTTCTTCCTGCCTGCTACAATGGTAGCCTCACCTCAAGTTATTGGTCACATCTTCTTCCACAAAAACCTCTAAGGAGCTTTGACCTAGAGGGGAAAGAAAAAAAAATAGCATAACAAAAGCCATCTTGGGGATTTCAATCTGAGGCTTTCCAACAGCGGCAGTGGGTGAGTGGTAGAGCTCAGGTCTCTGTGCAGACTTCTCCCAGGGAACACGCTGATTGCTCATCTCAGCTTTCCACATGAGCACTACCACCTCCCTCGAGTGTCACTGACAAACTGGTGTAGGCTGGGAAGGCAGAGAACTGGAGCAGCAGCTCCTCTGTCTGCAGACTGCTCCAGCTGCACAAACATGCTCATGCCTGTGTCACAGAGATATCATTTCCCAGTCAATTGATTTCAGTTTCTGCCTCCCTGCACAATTTTATGCAGAGATTTGGTCGATTTGGGCTGATTCTATTTCCCCTCCCAACATCACTTAGATGAAAGTGTTTTAACAAATGCCTAGATACAGTGTGACTCAAAGCTGACAAAACTAAATACCAAAGGCATTAGTGCTTTATTAGAAGCCAATCTGGTTTCAGAAACAATGATTTTTAGAAAGCCCAAATCTGAAAGCCATCTAGCCTTGTCAGGAGCAGCGAGAACAAGGGATATGAAAAACATGGTGCTGGACTTTTGAATCTTATTTCCTCAGATGACTGTGCTATTTAGTTCTTTGTCCATGAGCTTCATCTTCACCCAGAAAGCATCTGAGTTCCTCTGCCAATTTCAGAGACCAGACACATTCATCTTCTTCCAGTTTCTCAAAAGAATCCACAAAAGACACTCATACTAAAAGACCCTCTGCAGGAAATGCAGTAGCCTCAAGGCAATAAGCTACCAAACCACACACATACCTAGAATGGATCCACGAGGATGTATTTTCCCTTCTATTCTGCATTTATTTGCCTTTTTTTTTTTTTTTTTTTTTTTTTTTTTTTTTTTTTTTTTTTTAAGTCATCTGCAACTCCTGTGACTCAGTTTCCAGTACCTGTGCCCCACCTTATACTCCTTCCACGGTAGAACAGAGCCTGAGGCTCACCCTGACAGCAGATGAGGACTCGAGGATTGCACCCTAAATGGATAGAAGCCACAAAACCTACTGCTGTGGAAACTAGGAGGAACTGCAGTTAATATGGATGAGCAACTTTACAGCAGAGCTGAGAAGCTGACTTAGCCAAAAGAACGCACTCAATAACAGAAAACTTACAGCTCACTCTGCTGGAGGCAGAGGAAGATTCTTGTGCTGCTGCCTTCTTTGCAATGGCCCTGCTGATAGATCTCCGGATCATGCTCTCTCTTTTGCTGGCCAGAGAATATTTTTCAGCCAAGGAGGTCCTATGGCTTTTGTGGGTGCCACCCACACAGCTTCGGCGTCCAGAGCGTCGTGTTTTGGATGTCACTATGGTCATTTTGTTGTTGGAGTCCTGGAGAAGCACCTTCTCTAGGCTCTGAGAAGACAGATCTCCTTGGGGCATGGCAGGATGTCTATTTCTAGTAGCCTTGGGAGTGGACGTACTTGCTTTTCGTTCAATGGTCTCTTCCTCCTCTACTGCTGTCTGGTCATGAGGGACTGCACTGACAGCAGGCACCTCATGCAGTTCATTGATTGCACCCTCCAGGGACGCCTGCTCTGCTGGAACAGCCTCACAGTCTGCATCACCACAATCAGCACTGTCTTGCTGTGGAGGTAACTCAGCCTGAGGGCAGTCATTGCAATCCACTTCCACCATGGAACTTTGTGCTTCTGCTGGCAATTTCTCACGCAGTGCTGGAAGCTCCATTTCAGTGTTGGTCTCAGACCTCACCTGACAGCTAGGATTCTGGGGATGCTCTTTGCTGCAGCGTCTTTGGGAACTTGGCCTGGAAGATGCTAGCTTAACACTGCTTCTCCTTCTGGACAACCTTAAATAAGAACAAATGAAACAATGCAGAAATCTCCCACTCCTAAACCATTTCAAAACAAAGACAAGCTTTGCAGCAAACCTACAGCCTTCCTCCCTACATCCACTTCCCCTTACAACACACCTTTTGCCATTGGCTAAATGCAGGAGAAAAAACCTTGAAATCTCTCAAATGCTCTAGCAGATTTAGCCAGGCATACTAAATTTACTTGCAACTAAAGGCTGCATCTAAAAACACAACCAGCAGCAGCTGAGGTACCAGGACGCTTGCAATTCTTTGTGGATATTAACCCACAGCCCCAGCTGGACCTGATGTCAGGGGACAGTAAAATCATACTGGTACAACCCACTCCCTGCCCCAAGTGAAGCGCAGACACCCACACGGGAAGGAATTCTAGATTTTTGGTTTGGGGAAGTTCCACAGTGAAAATTCAGCTTTGAAATGCTTTGCATTAGCTAATTTAACAAGAGATAATGAAGCCATTTACTTGATCAACAAGTCAAGAAGATTAAGTGGGCAAAACCAGAAGACAACCTCAGTGTTTCAGACATGAAACAAAGTTGAGAGCCAAGGTAGAAGTGGCTAACAGCAAGAAAACAGAGCTACAAAAACCCAAGGCACCATAAACTAGTTAAATGAGCAAGGCTTTACAGTTCCTGGTGGAAGAACACTCACAACTAGCCTTCAGATTGATTCCCTCTGCATTCCTTCCAGTTTTGTTCTCTTAATTTCTCATTCTGACCTCTAGCAATAAACATCACTTCCTGCTAAAGTTCACAAAAACAAGACTATTAATTGGGAAATTCATCAGCATGCTAATAAGTGGTTTCTAAAATATGTACTGAGGGAACCATAGCAATGGAAACAATGGCCTGAGCCTGCAGGATTAATGTGCTTAACTCTGACATGAACTTCCTGTTGACAGATGATCATCCAACCTTTCAGACATTGCCACATCAGCAGATTTTTCTCAAAGCTAAATTTAAATTAGGAAAAAACACATGCAAGATTTGTCATCTTTATGGAAGCAATCAAGCTGCTATCCAGCTGCTACCTGAAAACTAACAGTATGGCTTCAGAACTCTCCATGTTTAGATTTGCAGTATTTTCTCCTCCTGCCCTCCTTCAGCACATACATTCATGAACTTCCCACGCTTCCTTACTATTCTTGCTGTTCTCTCCATCCTCCATGTCTAGTTTATGTCAGTCTTTCAGTTCTAACTTTCCTGTGGTGTTTTTCATCATGGTTATCAAAAGTTAAGGGCCTTACCACACAGTTTATTACTGTATATCCAGTTACTGGGTTAGGGCACATGAAAGCAATTATCAGCACGCCTACCCTCAGATCACAGCATATGCTTCTCTGAAAAGAGAGTTATTAACCACCTTGTCCCAACCACAAGATGAAAGCAGATGCAGTCGGCCACCATGAAGGTAAATCAAGGAAGTTAATTAGCATCAAAACCAAATCGCTCCCCAAACAATCCCTTCTTTGCATCCAATTTGCAGACAACAGTTGTCACGAAGAAAGGCATTCCTCCATTTATCCACCTCCTTACCTCTTCTACTTAATGAGATTTGGCTTACTTTCCAGTGAATATCTTCACTGGTACAGGAAAGGGAAATAAGAAAATGAAGTTTGGCAGCTTGCCATCACTACTGTTGCTTCCATCTTCAAGCTGCAGAAACTCTCTTGGGCAGCAGCAAAGGGGCAGGCTGCGTGACAGAACAGTGGCACTGTCTACACAGAAAGCTGTTAAGAGCACGAGGTAAAAAGCACAATACAAGCTACATTTCTTCTGCAGTCTACTTGCAGTAGATAAGATGCACAGTTTTAGGTTCCATCTATTTAGGGTTAATCTTGAAAAACAAATCCAGTAAGGATGGTTATATACCAAATCACTTGGAACTTTTACACGTTTCATCCCAAACCCCTCTCAGTCCTTTCTATCTGCTAACTTAAATAACACAATAGGCATGACACTTTTGCACATTCCTTCTAGCAGGCTACATTCTCAGATGAGTGAACACGGGAGCAACCTCAGGTTGAAAGCTGTGCTGAAAAAAACATGAAATTAAATGAGAAGAAAACTCAAGCAAACAAGAAAGTAGAAAAAGATATTTATTGTTTTTAAACGAACAGAAAGAACACAAAGGGACAACTAATCCTCTACTAAATTTTCACAAGAATCAAAGTGTTGACTGACCTTGACACACCATTTTAAATTTAATCTTTACTAAATCAAAAAACAAGCAGCTATTCTGGGTACGCATATGCAGAAACAGTTAAAATTCCATTTCACTGTTAAATGCCACATGCAGCAGAGCCAGACTCACCCACCTCCTCCTGGTTGGCTCATTCTCATCTTTCAGAGCTGAAGACTGCCTCTTCCTAGGCCGTCTCCTCTGGGATGGCGTTTTGGGCATCAGGCCAGGTTCAGCTCTGAAGTTAATGCTGAAATGCAGAAAGCAGAGGCTGCCTTCCACTGCTAACTGCCCGCCACCCAGCCATAGCAATGTTCACCCATTAAGAGCAACAGGGGAGAAGCAATTGAGGTGTAACACCAGCTGGCACTAATGCCTAAACGAAGCTGCAAAACACAGCCACATTAAATCCATCACTCAGCTGAACAACACTCTTTCCCTAGGCTTACACCAGGGCTGCACAACCAGCGGGCAGGAGCACACACAGCTTTGTGCTCTCTGTGTTCGAGAGCATCCTGGGAGGCTCCCTGGAGGGCAACCCCTACCTATCCAGCATCCTCAAGCCCTGCTCCTCCACCTCCCGCAGCCAGGCCAAGTGCTTGTGCTCAGCATCGTAAAGGAATCGGGACAGTCTCTGCCCGCACACTTCCAGGAGCTGCGTGGGACCGTCGGCTGCCGCCATGACCTTGCCTGAAACACAGGAGACAAAATGAAAACCTTCCAGGATACAAAGGATGACCGAAGCCCACTTCGTGCCTCGCAGCAGGGTACAAATAAGCGCAGCCACAGTTCTAAGACAGATGCAAACCCAGAGGACCTCCCTAGTGGCCTTCCCAAGCCCGTAGGACCAGCTACTAAGACACCAAGGCTCACCTCACCACCTCTCACCCAGGAAGGGCTCACTACCACGGCTCTTTCCCCCCTTCCACTCCTGGTCCCAAATATCGCGGCTTCTACCAATCACGGTGCTCCTCCAGCGGAGCCCTCCTCGCTACTGGCTGCCTCCCGCGTCCATCACTTCCCTGCTATTAAAATCCAGTTGCCTATTGGTCCTCTACCCCAAGCCCCACCTTCCAAGTCCTCCACAACCACAGAGGTGGGCGAGCAGAAGAGAAGCAACTTTTGAGAGCGCCGCGCTCGCCTCCTGACCAATGAGGAGGGCGGGCGGCGGGGAGCGCGGCGGCGATAGGCCAGCGCGGCCGTCACGATGGCAGAGTGGGAGGTGAGCGTTAGATTTGAATTCCAGGCGGGCAGAGCTGCTGCGCGCGCGGCGGCGACAGTGAGGGGAGTGGGGTGAGGGCCGGGCAGCGCGCGCGCAGGGGGCGGTTGGGGCTGAGGTAAGCCGGAGCGATGGCGATGGCAGCGGGCCTGGCGCGGCTGCCCGCGGCATGCAACCAACGGCTGGCGGAGCTCCTGCGGCAGGTGGACGACGTCGACATGGTGTGGCTGGAAGAGATCCGCGAGGAGGCGACCAGGATGTTCGGCAGGTAACCATCCCCCCCGCCGCGCGCCCCTCCGCTCCCAAACGACGAACCCGCGCTGAGCTCTGCCCCTGCCCGCAGCCACTACAGTGACCAGCCGGAGCTGATGCCCAAGACGCCATCGCAGAAGAACCGGAAGAGGAGGAAGCGGCCGTCCGCGCTGCGGGGCGAGAGTCTGGAGCTGGGCAGGAGGAGGTAGGCCGTGGGCCCGGCCGTGAGGCGAGGCGCCCTGCCGCGGGGCCGTCGTGCTGCGAACCGTTCTGAGAGCTAGGGGTCCCGCCGCAGCAGCCCCCGCCGTGCTGCCGTTAAAGGCCTGCCTGTGCGTTGGCTCGGGGCGCTCGTAGCCTAGCGGCTGGAGCGCGCCATAGCGCGGAGGTGCCCGGATGAAAGCGCGCCCTACCTGCGAGTTAATAATTGGAACTTGCTGCCGTTTTATGCCTTCTGTTTGCTTTATATAGCAACTTTCCGATCTGCCGGGGGTGGCTTCCGTGGTTTTGGGCTGTTGCTGAATCCAGCGCTATGCTAACGTGCCGTCTCTATTGTTAGATTATCTAGAAGGAGGACTAACAACCTCAAAGCAGTGTCCTCCAAGCGATATTCTCAGCGACTCCAAAATAAAGAAGACTCAGCACCAGTCAGCACCGAGGCCCAAGAACTCTCAAGCCAAACTGTCTCTCAGCGGTTGACAAGATCCCAGGTTATAGCGCCTGCCGACTGCTCAGAGGTCCTTCCTGAACATCTAGGTGAAAGGGTAGTTCCTGTTGTAGAAATCAGTGTCTGCGATCGTGTTTCTGCTGAGTTTCAGTTCCAGAAGTGTGCACCTGAATCAGCGGAGAACCACTCCACGAACCTCCCCCTGAGCTCAGATGACAAGTCTCCCGAGGAGAGCAGTGCTGCAGAATCGCAGCATTTGCCTTCTGCATCTGAGCTCAAGGTCCCTCATACCCCAGAGGCAAAAGGTTCAGGAGAGCACAAGAGTGCGTTTAAGAAGACAGCAAAAGCAGCTAATACTACAGTTGTTTTAAGTGAAGAGCCTGGGCTGGAAGAGGTAGATGACTCTGCTCAGGTGCAAAAGCATAATGAGAGGGATGATAAAGAACCTCAGCATACAACAGATAGCCCAGAAACCCCTACAGGTTCTAGGCTAAGCCGTCGCTCTGTGCGCAGAAGTTTGATGGGCAAACCTTCCACGATTCGTAGAACCTCACTGGCAGAGAAATACTCACTGGCCCGCAAGAGGGAAAGCGCTATTCGGAAATCTATCGCCAGGACAGTGATCAAGCGTAAGGCGCCCCAAAAGTTATCTGTGTCCTCCAGTTCTGTGAATGGTAAGTTTGAACGCCACTGGATACGTGCTTTGCTCTGTTTTTGCTCATTTTGTCAGTGTATTGCATGAGACCACAAGTCTGGTGTTTGCAATGGGCAGGAATAAACACAGTGGCCAACCATCCTGCATGGTTGAAATCTGTGCCTGGAAAAGTTAATAGAAATGGGTAAGCCAACCTAGAGAACAGAGAATCAAAAGCACTGTGTGAGCTTGACCCTCAGCTGAACAAGATATGGTTGCCTACTTGAAATAATGCAAGAGAGGCGATCAGTCAATGGCTGTTTTTACTGCAAACTCCTTGTAGTATGTTGTGCAATCATACACAGCTTCTGAAGAAAGATGATGTTAGTGGAACTGGTTCTTCAGTTTGGGTGCAGCAGCTTAGCCAGGTCTTAGATCTTTCTGGCTTAGACAACCTTTCATTAAATGCCAGTGTTCCAACTGACTTTCTAGATACCTCTGTGAGCGGAGGAACCCAGATAACTGTTAACTAATGGTTGATAGCATATAAATTCAGCCTTGTATTTCACGTGAGAGAACGTGATTAACATCTGAGTTTCTGTGGCGATAGCTGGCAAAGTTCAAGTGGCATCTGGTAAATGGTTTTTTTTTGTTGCTAGTAGTCCTTTAGGAGGAGTCTGGGTTCTGTCTTGTAGCTATTGTGAATTAGATGATTTTTAGAAGTAATCTCTTCTGGAGCCCCTCCTTTGAGAAGGAATTTTGAGACTGATTAAAACAATCTTCTGTGCTTAGTTTGCAATGCAAGTGGGTTTCTGCAAAGGATGAACGTCTGCTTGCAAAATAAGTCCTTGCAAAACAAGGTAAACTACCAGGGTCAGCACTTACTACAAAACAAGATCACTTCCCTTAAAACTGTCTGAATACTTTGTTCCATCCCAGGATCATTCTTCAGTCAATGGCCGTTAGGTCCCTAACACACTAACTTTGAAGGATGCAAAGCAGCTTTTTCTCCCCAGTTTAAATGATTGGTCTGTGTTGTCTGGATTCCCTGGGAACCTTAAAGAGGACTTCATTTCTCTCCTTCTGCACTGTTTGACTTGACAGATCTCTTGTCCAGTCAAAATTTCCAGGTGTAAGGAGAGAAACTGAGGTTCAGGCAGCTTCACTCGAGCTGAGTTTAATGTCTGAGCACACTGCATAGGTATTAATTGGCTGCATGGTATCCACCATGTCTCTGATGGGTCGTGTCCTGTGCATCCAGCACATATTTGCGTTTCCTTTGATAACGCTGGGTTAGAAATTTAGGAGCAGACTTCATACTTCTGTAACGTCTGTCTGCATTTACCCCCCTCAGTCTGAGGCAGCATATCCATCTTATTAATTATTAACAGCAGTTTCCAGCCTGTGTTGGTACTTAAAAGCTAACTACCACTGAGCTAGCTGGAATGTGTAACAGGGAAGCAGCACTGTGACTGTAAATAATGCTGGTTTCTGCTACTGCTAGCATCTGAACGCAGCCCTGCAAGATGAATCTGGGCCCAAGCCTAGCCACTCTTAATGTAAACACATTGAATATCACTTTTAACTCATCTGCAATTGAAAACAGTTCTCTTATATTAAAATTGCAGGCAATGCTTTTTTTCTAGTGCTACTTGGGGATATTAAGCTGCCTTTGCTTGTAGTGGCATGCATTTGAATTGCAGGAGGTAACCCAGGAGGCAGAGCAGAGGAGTCTTGAGAGAATCTCACACAGAGTCTTGGCTTGTGCCTTACATTATAATTTTGGCATCCTTTTTTCTTTTCCTCTAGGCTCGGGTTCTGAAGAGGTGCCAGAAGATGAAGAAACAGTTGTCAACACTGGGTGAGACTACTTCCAAGATATTTTTTTTTATCCTTAATATCATGCTCTTTTTTTTTTTTTTCCCCTCCAGTTGAATTCTTGATGTAAAATGCTTGTGGATAACAAGCCATTTCATAGTTTCCTCAATGTTATTAAATGTGGCTATCTTTCTCATTCTTTTTCTAGACCTCCTCCTGTACCTCGTACCCCTCCAAAGCTGGTAAGTTTTGACAAGGATTTAAAAGCATTTCTGTTTGTGTGGACTCATGACCAAAATATGTTGGATGTATCTCTCATACGTTGCTGGGAAATCAGGGAGTTGTGACCACATACAGTCAGATTCAGACCACTTGAATAAAGAAGACGTAGGGCATTCAGCTCAGCCACGTGCATGACCCTATGCATAGCCTCCACAGTTCTGGTGAACAGACAGGAGAAAAGTCTGATTCTGTTTTGATCGGTTTTCCAGAATTGTCAAAATTAAAAACTCTGAAGTTTTTGCTCAGAAAATGAGTGCATGTGACTGGAAGCTTATTTCTATATGGTGTTACAAGCTTGGATGCTTCCCAGCCAAGGCTAGTTTGGAAAATAGCATTATCTGTCAGCTTACATAAGAATGTTTAAATGCAAGCATTTTAGTGATGTGAGTGATTGATTGCATTCAAGCATCATTTACATTGTTGGAGCAGGTCCAGAGGAGGGCCACAGAGATGATCAGAGGGCTAAAGCACCTCCTCTTTGAGGACAGGCTGAGAGTACTAGGGTACTTCAGCCTGGAGAAGGGAGAGTTCCAGGGAGACCTCATTCTGGTCTTCCAGTACCTGAAGGGCACCTACAGGAAAGCTGGGGAGGGACTTTTTTGAAGGGCACGTGGTGACAGGACGAGGGGTAATAGCTTAAAACTGGAAGAGGGTAGATTTAGACTAGATATTGGGAAGAAATTCTTCACTGTAAGGGTGGTTGCCCAGCAAGGTTGTGGATGCCACCTCTGTGAAAGCATTCAAGGCCAGGCTGGATGGGGCTGTGAGCAACCTGCTGTGGAGAGAGGTGTCCCTGCCTATATAGGGGGCTGGAATTAGATGATCTTAAAGGTCCTTTTCAACCCAAACCATTCTATGATTCTGAGCACTGAATTCAGTCCTTGGTATTGCTGGCATTCAGAGTGGAGGCCTGCTTTCTTTTTGTGGTTTTGTAGCCCTTTATTTTTATGAGAATTCAATCCTGAATTCATATCAGACTGTTAAATAAACTTCTTACAATTCAGGAAAGTTTTTTTAGCTGGGCAGAGTTGGTACACTACTGCTATTCCTGTGTTTCTAAAGCTCTTCTGACCTTTTCGCTAGTCCTACAGATTACTG